ATCATGATTTCGGAAAGGGCGCCGCCTTCTGGGGTTGAGCAAGGTTATCATAGTGGGAACGGAGGTTGACGCAGGTCGTTAAAGGACATTGTGTTTGGACGAACGGATTTTTTTGACGAATTTGGTGAGTTTTAGAGTTAGGCAAAATTGGTGGATTTGCCGATTTATGATACAAACTTACCCCCTCCACGGTCGTTTTGAGAGGAGGAAGAAGTGAGCGGAGCTGGGTAGTGTCGACTAGTCTCATTCGTCCGAATCAAATGCTATAGAAACAGCCATGACGGTGATGGCCAGAGAAGGGGGAAGGGGGATCGTATTGGGGAAGCCTCCCAAACTGATGAGAGGGGGTGGGGTTGCAAAGTTTTTGAAAAACTGCGAACGTGACTGGGGGTGAGGGCAGTCACTTGACTGCTTGGAAAGTTGAAATGTATGACCTAGATACTTTCATAGCGCTTCGTCACGTAATAGTGTGGGCAGCAATCCCTATGCACATACATCCCATGCCTACCATATTCGAAAATTGGAGTGCCCGTCCCACTACCACTGGACCGCCTTTCCTTTGATAAATTACTTGTTTGGCATTTCTTATCTATCGTTCTTTTATTCCGCTAAATTCTTGTGAGGTACTTAAGAAAACATTCTTGTGATCTTCAAAATCCAAGAATGTTTTGATGAACACTCGTGGTAAACCCACCTTCATTCGTCTCTTGCACGCCAACATCAAACGCCAGCTTGTCGTTGGAGGAGCATGATGAAAGGCACGCCAAGTACTGCAAAATGATATGATTAGCTTTTATGTGATCTTTTCAACAGCGCCGATCATGTTTTCACTGCCAAAGATCATTAGTAGGAATACACTTTATGGAGGATGACTGTATACTACTAGAAGGCTCGCCGTGTATAGAACAGAACCGTTGCTTGCATAAGCGTACTTTTCTTATCAACTCAATTCGATCTTCATTCTCCGCCTCGGTGCTTGGTCCTATGACCTTATGATGCACACATGGAGCGATTGAAAGGTAACATGATTGTCAGCACTTGACTATTCCCCAAACTTTCTATCCTCCTGTAGGGAGGGTGGTTACAGACAGGCAGACCGGGGAAACCTGCGCAGACTCGAACGGTGTGCAGCAGTAGCAGTAGGTCCATGACCACGGGCTGAGAAAGGCTGAGCCAATGCGAAGTGCGTGGCGCGATCTCAGTGTTTTCCTCCGCAAGAACTCAAGTAGCGATGCTACCAGCATGACGTATTTAGACCATGGGCACATTTCAATCTGTTGGTAAAAGGAAGGAAGAGTTGATCTGCTCACTGACCATCTCACTCTGCACGTGTTTCAGTTGAACGGCATGGCCATAAAGCAGTGTTTTATGTCCACCAGCACCAGAGGCAGATTTCTGAAAGTGACCACACGTTATGAAGACGAAAAACTCTCACAATAGACCTGTGAAGCTTTGTTTCCGCACAAATCTACAATTGCTTGTCTGTTTCACTTCCTCAGGCAGATCAAGCTACAAAAACCCTTGGAGAAAAAAGAAAACTTTGCTATGGAGAAGCCTACCCTGTTTCCTGATTAGAAATTCGTAAAAAGTAGTATCGAGTATTGGTTTGAACTAAGAGTTCACCACTACTGCTACCACTACTGCTCATTCGATGGTGGCGACAAACAAATAAACTTGCAAAAACTAAACACATAAACTTTTTTCATATAAAGAAAAAAAAATAAATTCCCGTACATGTTCTGAATCCGCCGACATCATCTCTTGCAGAGCTCTCATTGATAGTGCGTTGTCTATGTAGAGCATGCATATTGCTATGTCGGGTGGAATATCCTGAAATCACGGAAAAAATAAAACTGAGGCTTCATAAACATTTTAGGGGATTTCGCACGAGCTTACATTTAATAAATATGTATACAGCATACCAAGTTCGGTCCCGCAGCGCCGCACTCGCATGTATCACGGGTAATCGATGTATAAAAAGGACCATCGATCGTTATTTATCATGCTTCGGGCAACTTCTACACTTGCACCAGTAACATTGGACCTCTTTTCCTTTGCCCTTCATTTAAAGGACGAATTCAAGCTGGGAAGGCAACCCATTTCAAATTAACTCAGGGATGGTGATTGGTACACGAAAGAAGGAAGAACCATGAGAAACGGCCCAGAACCCGAGAAATGGGACCCCTTCCTTCCCCGCTGATTTGCGCATTGATGCGACTCTTATCGCTGTGCCCTCCTCAACATCACGCTCTCTCTGCTATCTAATCAATCCCACGTATAGATCTGCGGCGAGTGATCAGCTGGTCGGTGGGCGGAGATCGCCAGACCCGCCAACTTTGAGGCATAATAGGTCGCGCGAGGTCAAATTTTTCGATGCGAATTGCGCATCAGTTCGCACCCTCAGGAGGTCCGTGGGTTACTCAACTAGGTGAATTACTTCTTCCTCGACCTCCATTCTAATCGTAAAATCCTCCTTTAATTACTGGCCGTCAGACTTCTCTTGACGAATGTTTATTGGTTAGCTCCGCTCCTATTCTGGTGCACGCCCCACCCACCTAAAGCAATTGATCCACCTTCCGCTGCTAAACTGTGTCCACTTTTTTCCCCGTTCCCAGCAACTTCGATGCGTACGACTTATGAAAATTTTCGGTGCCCGCCACGACTAGCAGGTGACCACAACTTCCATTCTATAGCTTTCGCTGTTCTTTCTGGACTCTCTCTGATCCGCGTAAAACCAATGCAGTCAAATCCTAAACACACTGCCTTTGAAGGCGAGCTCGCTGCACTAGACAGTTTGTTAGAAAGTTCGGGGTACACGGATTATCATCTTAGAGTCTCTCATCTCTACGCCAATTTGTCTGCTCAAAAAACTGTCTCCATCAGAGTGGGGAGTTGTTTACTTGCCCCCCCTTCCAGAATACCCCTCACACCACCGAGAAGCGGGCCCAAAATTTGGATTTGTCAAATTAGTGCACACCTTCACACATTTCTTCCTGGCATTTGGTATGCTCTATAACCGAACTCGAAGCTTTTGCCGTCAGCCCAATTTAGCGCGTGCCACGACCACTGTAGGCGAAGCATCACCTAACTAACATTTCGCCTTATTCTTCTTCACCCAATCCACCATCGCAAACTGTGACCCAGATTATCTATTCGTTTTATCAAATTAGTACCGAAATGATGACAACGCAAAAAGACACACACAGACATACTCAAGAGCATTTCAGCTATAGCAGGGATTGGGTGATGTCGAAATGAGCCGGCGAATTATCATAAATATTTTCAAAAAAATCCAACAAAAAGGCAGGGAACTATTGATGCAATAAAATAATGTAATGATCAAAATGTGATAATCTTACTCTGTCGGAAACGTTTTCCAGCGTACACATACGATTACCGAAGCCTTCGGTGCAAAGGCAGACACGTTCGGAACCGAGAACGCCATCGCGATTGTGTGATGCGATGCACGAAAGGCACACAATGTCACCCTGAAATCACAGAATTCGATCAGATAAAAAAAAAATTAAAATTGTGCAGACCATATCTCATTGTAGATTGTCATTAGATTCGCTGCCTTACTAAAGCCTCGTCAAAGATTTACACAATTCATTTTAATTCATGACTGCCGACAATATTTGTCAAATTCTAGAAGAGACGATAATGCGAAAAAACTTTTATCCACTTTTTTCCCCGTTCCTCTCTTCTTCTGCTGCTACTGCCTTACATATAATTCCCTCACTTTCAAATGCTTCAAAGTAAATAATATGTAGAACTTTTCCTTCGGCTCTGCTCAGCAGCTTCAATACTATTGAGTTAACCGTGAGCCTAGTCGCCGCATGTACGATTTTGCGTGGAGGTTTGCTCATTTCAAGTCATAGGTTACCCATGAAGTGTGAAAGTAACCCGTTTTCTATATTACTTTCATTCATATTTACTTTCATTTACCTTGCATTCAGAAGCCACAGAGCAGCAAGGTAGGTGCCAAACTCTGCGACAGTCGTAAGTGCAGCTAGCGCCGAGGCAAGGCTACATGATCAATAATGGGCGGATGCCTTAGCGATACGAACTGGCGAGCCGCTCCTTGCTGGACAAAAAAAAGTGTATCCTTTGAAAAACGCGGAAGTAGGGAAGCGCCAGCGTATCAGGGAGAGAAAGCCTGACTCCGTCTCAAATTCTGGTCCCCAAGAATGTTTTGTCGCACTGGTGGCTCTGACGCAGTGGAGACGAGATCACTCTGAATAAAATCAAAGCGACCATGTGATTGCGCAGGAGGAAGAAACTGCCGGTCTACATCGACCGTAGTTGTAGGATTCGAAGACACTTATCGTTCAACCAGTCAACCTTTTCCCCGTACGACATGGAGATCAGCGCCTTGACTGGATAGCTACGTCGCCGGCTGGTCTTCGCCTCACACCTCTCTTGCCCTTGGCTCAGCATCTCAGCAGTACCGAGTAATAATGGGCGAAAACAGTGTGAGACGAGAATGGTCACTGAGGGGAGGGGCACGTCAGGCCTAGCGATCGAGTTTCAAAACTCTTTTGGGACACTGTATTTGCTAAGTGCAACAACATTGAGCGACACCTGGCAAGCACCCTTGATCCTCTAAGTTGTCCGTTCACAAGCCTTAACGAATCCTGCGATGGCAAACAAAGATTTGTGCTTCTTTAATATTTGTGTAACATTGATCAAACGAATTCAGGAATCAAAGGTTCTAGGGAAAATAGCAATGGGAAATGAAAATTCCATCGATAAAAAAAAGAAATGAACTCCAAAAAATAAAAAAGATCGTTAATTGGAGCGGGGAAATTTACTGCGCTGAGCGCGTTGAAAAAGAAAAATTGGAGAAAAAAATTTGAGTTCATCAAAACGAGATATTACTCATGGTTCCCAATCCAAATAATTGAAAATCGCTAGAATTCTAAACGGGAGCTGAAAAGCTCTACGGTTCATTAAGCAATCAAAAATAAGTTAAATCTGCAGGTTTTAACCCTATTCCAAAACGAAAGAGCGTCGTCAGACCATTACACCCAAAAGTCGACGAGTGGACCCACAAAAGTAAATGTTTTTGCCAGTGAAATATAACCTTTGCAGTTTATTCTCATCAGTTGCACCAATTACAGGTTATCATCTACAAAAATCACTATAAACGATGACCGCTACTAACGCGCAGATTTAATTAAAGGCTTTCGCATTTTGGGTATGGTCCGCACCGACCTGACGCAACTCTCCTATTTTAGAGAGGAGCTGCAGTTTGTTTTTTTCGCATGAAACTCAGCTGGCTTTGTCGTTCTCATAGAACATCTGACTAATTCTTACCTTCATCACATAATGGTTATCCTCATGGAATTCGATGATCGAATCGTAATCCATTATTGACTATTATTGAGGTATATTTCAGTCGAAAATATTTACATATAACCACGTAGTCCCTAATGATTAGAGATGTAGCTGGCGACGATGACGTAAAGAAGGCAGCATTCCTGAGCGGTATTATAATATTACTGAAAGCATATGCGCTAATGAGTGAGCGACTATGGACGGAAGAGAGAAGCAGCAGAGGATTTCAGCAATTTCATTAACAAACTGGTTCATGTGATTGGTGAAGAGGTTTCAGAAAATGCAAAATTGACAGGGTTCGTCGGCAATGCTGACGGACTTCTCCAAATTTTAATGAAGATTCCAAGCGAGCAGCAAACATATTGAAACTTCGAGTACTGTCTATCAGAATATCACAATGGTCCGCTGCCTTGATCAAAACGATTACAAGCTGGCTTGACTTATTTGTCTTCCTCCCTCTCTTTCCGGACTTCTACAACGAGCTGGAGTCGGCCAGTTGCGGCCCTCCTACGGTTGTATAGCTACTAACAAAAGTTGGTATCCGGAGCTCTACTTCCACGCCTCTTGAGTTTGCAGTGTTGGCGGCCACTGCCCTTCTGCGCTGGATTTCCACTCCCTGTTCTGGCAGATCTCCTTTTTGGGGCCCATTTGGTTGTTTCGCTTACGCTTATCGGATATATGTTTTTACTTATTTTTACGTTTTGTTTTTGTAGCTTTGATTGCCGATAATAAATATGAGTACGAATGAATTCAAATTCTCTATCTTCCGTTCCTTACTAAGGAGCACAAAGGGGACGGGGTATATTGGCAAGTCTGACTGCGTCTTAGAAGGACAGAAGGTGGACTGAGACTCTGATTTTTTCGCGCCTTCTAATGCTTCAAATTTCGAGTTTATTAATGTATGAAGTTTTGGTCCTTATTCTTGAATCCACCGTATCCGAATTTCAATTAACAATAAGAGCGCATATTCCAATGATCTCCCACAAAAAGTGGACCGATTCGAAACAGCGTAACACTATAGGAATCACTTAGACATCCAATCAAAAAGGTACGAATTAGAGCCTAGCAACTCCTCTTCGAGCTGCATGAATCAAAGAATTATTCAAGGCCGTGAATGAGGCAGCAAATTTGTTCAAAATTGCGCGATAAGTCCAGTGTATTAGTTCTTAGAAAAGGGCATGGGTTTTGAAATGAGAGGGTTGCAGATTCTTACCACTTAGTATAAAGACAGAAAGGTGCACAATGGAACCCGGAACTTGCCTTCACATTATTTTTACCTCGCCAAAATTCAACCGTTAAAGTTGTTCCTTGATCTAGGAGTGCAATTTTGTTGGGAAGAATCAAGAGTAGCGGAGAGGTTCACCCACGGAACACCTATTCAAAAATTTATCGCTCTTCTCGGTTCGGAGGAAGAAGCAGCTAGAACTAATTGTCTCTATAAACATATGCTAAATGTTCTTCAACCCAAATCGCAAGCAGAATTTGATATCGACAGCCGTGAAAAATGTGAAGCACATGCGCAAATGGTTTGATCTAGGAAGTATCATCTATCATGGATAATCGTAACCGATTGGAAAAATTCTCACTGCAAACAGAAGTCAGTAAGAAGGGTACCCTAACCGTTATTGGAGTCAAAGATAGCAAACTTTTCCGAAGAATCGTCGAAAGGTAATTCTGTACTGCGAGTTCACTGACGCCCAACCTCCCAACTTCCCACCCAAGTTGATATGATGATTTTATAAAGAACACTGATGGAGTGGCATAAGTAGATCTGCACGACGCCGACCCATTCGACGTAGTCCAATTCTGGCCTTCATTTAGAACAAGGCAGCGCAAAAGAGAAGATACATGATCAATGATCTAAGAAATATGAAATTTTATGAAGCCGAAAATGCAAGAAATCAGACTTGGGTTTGGCGGGACTCAGTTTCTGCTAGAAAAGTAGGAAAACATTTAGCATCTAAAGAATTATGCTTTGGACAGTGCCATGCGTGCGTTTTCGTCAATGCAATGCTCAAAAAATGACAAAAAAACGGACGGCAAAAAACGTCAGTGCAACCCCTAAAATATCCGTTGAATATTACAAGCTCCAGAATTAAACAGTAGGTGAGCAGGTGCTTCTCGGAAAAATATGAAAGCCGAGCCAAGAAAGAGGGAGGCTCTGCAAAAAATTCGCAAGCATTTACTATCAATATCTAGAATCTATATGAGAAGCAGTGGGTGGTTAATGACGTCGGCAAGCCGCTGAAAGCAACTCTAATCGGCCAAAGAACACGTGGTGAGATTCGGTTAATTGCTGTGTCGATGCAGAAATACTGGCACACGTATAATTGCCTAGTAATGGGAAAATAATTCAATAGGCAGTGAAAAATCGGAATAATCAATGCCGTATATTATGCCATATGTGAACTAAGCACTGTCAAAATTCAATTGAATAATTGACATTAAAACCCAAAATTGCTTATTTATAAACTGATGACACCAGTCGCTCTACGATCTGAAAAGACGAAATTGTGATGTGGAAGTTCAACCCTTCAAAACTGGCAAGAATGAGCTGGTCAACGTCGGTGGCAGGGTGAATTTATGGCTGAGCAATCTCAACTGCCAGGTGGTTTGAACCAAAGCGCAAGATCGCGTCTCTACGTCCTCAAATCGTTGGTCTATCCAAGAGGCTTCAAGCGCGATTAACTGCAGAGATCATCTATGTGTAGATAAGCAAATTCCATGAGTACATAATAAGCCCTTGAACGGTAAATGACTTCGTTCTCGGAAGCTGCTCCGGACAGCCTCAGTAGCAGTACGATAATGGAGCAAGTCTACGACGAAAAACAAACTCACTATAGCCAGGTATCAATGAATTCCAGTGAACCCATAGCTCTACAGCTACTTCCGCAAACTCCTGCCATATGGTATATCAAGTGAATTATTTCGTTCGCTAACTAACAAGCGCGGGTGTACTAGGGGATTTTTTGCGATAGAAGCAAGGACGTGAACGGCCATGGGACGAACGTTCCGAGTCCAGTAGCTCTAAAGCTACCGACATAGTGCTATACTAAGTGAGAACCTTTCTTTTTAAGGTTCTTCCACCTACGAAGAGTTCTAAGGCATCAGTTTTATAGCGTCGGATTCGATCGGCGATATTTCCTGGATG